CAATAACTAATAGCACATAATTATCTACGTCATGCGCTAAATAAGATCAAGATAGAAGAAATAATCGAAGAATAAACTTGCATAAAAGTAGAAAAATAGGTTCGAATTACCACATAGGGTTCCAATAAAATCCTAGAATAAAAACTTAGCTACTCATGTTCTCTACGAAAAGCATAATAAAAATATGAAAAACCATAAAAGCTATGAATAAAAATAAAAGAGGAGAACTATGATGAAGATTCGTCAAGTCTTCGTCTTCGTTCTTGTGCTTCTTGATCGCGTGTAGAAAGATGAAAGATAAAAGATAGATGATAAAGATCAAAGATAAAAGATTCCTCTAATTGTGTGCTTTTGGCCTTTAAATAGGGTGCAAAAATATAATAGGGCGGGTTTCCTTGTGTAATTAAACTTCCGTCACTGCGCCACCTCGACCACCCGGACGGCCGTGCGAGAATTCCTTCTTAAATCCGGACGGCCGTCCGGTCCTTAATTTTGCAGATTTTTGATTTTTCTACTTTTGGCCCACTTTTTCTCCGAATTTGTAGTTTTTACCCCATAAGTTGCCAATTCTTCAATTTGCACCTAAAATACAAATAATAACCATTTTAAGCACCAATTATCGTTAAAACATACCAAAAGTTCCAAGCAAAAAGGTACAATTAAGCGTATACATATACACTTAACATACATATCAAATTTTGGTGCATCAGAAACTGTATTTATACACAAAACGAGTACATACTAGAGCACATTCTACGGAATCTAAATGATTATGTTGAATTTGACATCATAAGGGTGGAGGTGTAAGAAGATTTATAATTGAGGGGTAGATGTAATTATCCAAACAATTTTTTTTATTTTTTTTTCGTAATTTGACTATACCTCAGAGGGTGGCTGTAATTTACCCTTTTCTTTTCTTTAATTTGAGAAAATTTATTTTGTTGTTAGATTGGATGATTAATAAAAGTAAATTAGGTCGGTGTCTTTGAGGAAAAAAGACGTCAGCGCCCTAATTCGGCTACTGTAACGTTGTAGGAAGAACAACGGTAACCAGAGAAGACGATTCTTGCGGAGATGGCAACGACGATGAGGGCGATAAGCAGCGAACTAGGGCAGTTTCATTATGGAATAAGGTGGTTTCCAAATTAATCGAATCAAAACTAATCCGATATAGGTAATCAAAGGAGTCCGGTATGACTTTAAAGTACGAATGACTAAAATTCAAATACGGGTTCAAATAAATAACGTTGAAAAAGAAAAAAAGGAAAAAAAGAAAAAAAGAAAAAAGAAAAGAAAAAGAAAAGCTTAAAGTTGGAGTGAATTGTAATAAGACCAAAAAGGACAAACACAAGACTTTCTCCAACACACACAGACAGAGCCACCGTCGCTGTTCCTCACTGCACACACACACGCGTCCCCTCTCTCTCTCTCTCTCTCTCTCTCTCTCTCTCCTCATTTTCTCTCTCTAGATTTCAAAGCCGCCGACTCACAAAAGCCACTCTTCCCCAATTCGCCGGAACAGATTTTCAACGGCGGAGTTTCCCGAAAAAAGCCACAACACGAATGCAACTCTCGAACACCCAACTCCGGCAGCTAAATTTCGGCTTCAATCAAAAATTCAACAAACCAATTTTCTCAAAACCCCATTTCAGTCAAATCAGAAATTTCATTCTCTTCCTTAATCTTCAATTGCGAATTCTGGAAGCTGTACTTTGTCAATCATCTCGCTTTTCTAAATTACAGAGCTCAATTTCCCCCAGAAAATCAATCCAATTAGTGCCCTAAAAAAATCATGAAAGATTCCACAGTTTCCGGCGACTCTTCCCCTGCGAAGAAGAAGAGAAATCTCCCTGGAATGCCCGGTAAGGAAAAAAAAAATTCCCCAATTTGCTGAAAATTTTGCAATTTTATTCGTGAATTTTTCGTTTAATTTGATTAAATTTAATATTTATTTATGGGATCAGATCCTGAAGCTGAGGTAATTGCTTTATCCCCAAAGACGCTGTTAACAACAAACAGATTTGTTTGCGAAGTGTGCAACAAGGGTTTTCAGAGGGACCAGAATTTGCAGCTCCACAGAAGGGGCCACAATCTGCCATGGAAGCTTCGGCAGAGGTCTAACGAAGATATTAAGAAAAGGGTTTACGTTTGCCCCGAATCGAGCTGTGTACACCATAATCCTCTGAGGGCGTTGGGCGATTTAACCGGGATCAAGAAACACTTCTGCAGGAAACACGGCGAGAAGAAGTGGAAATGCGACAAGTGTTCGAAGAAATACGCAGTTCAATCGGATTGGAAGGCGCATTCCAAGATTTGCGGTACCAAGGAGTATAAGTGTGATTGCGGAACTTTGTTTTCGAGGTTTTTTTTTTCCGAGAGTTATTTTTTCGGTAACTTATTTATTGTGGCCTTGATTGAATTTTGGGTTGATTTTTTTAGTTTCGATTTATTTGCAGGAAGGATAATTTTACTACACATAGGGCTTATTGTGATGTGTTAGCAGAGGAAAATGCAAAACCAGAGTCGGCAAATGCAGCTGCTCCTAATGTTGATGTACCGTCATCACCGCTACTATCGGCATCCGTTGCACCACCACCATCACCGCTACCAACATCCGCTGCACCACCACCGCCAACATCCGCTGCATCACCACTGCCAACCTCCGCTGCACCACCACCGCCACCATCACCACTACCACCACCATCACCACCACCTGCAGTTCTTCCAACTGATGTGGTGCCCCCTTCTTTACGTGATAATAATTCTGGTATTTTGACTATAACTTGGATTCTTGCAGTTTCAATATAATGGGTTTTGGCCTATACTCGTAGGTTCGATAAAAAAATAAAATATTTATTTATGTCTTTAATCTTGGAGTTGTGTTTTTTATTTTGTCTGTGTTGCATGCATTGTCAATTAGATATTTATTTATTAATTGAATTCAATAATTAGGTAACTAGATATATGCCATGAACAAAGGGCAATGATATGATTTTTTTTTATTTAATAAATTCATCTTATGTCTGTAAGTGCAATTTTCGGATTCCCAAGAGATTGTATCAGTGTGTTACTATGGTTTGTTGTTAATCTGCATATAATAATTTTAGGGGTAAATTACGGCCGCACCTGAGGTAAAGTCAAATTACGAAAAAACCCTTCATGTTTGGGTAATTACAACCACCCATCAACTATGAATTCTTACACGTTCACCCTTATCATGTCAAATGTCAAATTTAGTAGAATGTTCTATTATATTATGTGAAATATTTTCCACGTCCACCTTCGCGGTGTCAAATTTTTTAGTGGAATATTTTAGATTATGTGGAATATTCTCCGGTTTGTACCCGTTTGACACTATACGTGCTCCACATTTTGAAACAAGATGATCATAGGATGTGTCTCTTGGCTATAAGATGTGTCTCTTGGCTTGTAAATATCATATTGTGGTGCATTAAAAATTGCCTTTTTGTGGTCCACGGAATTTAGAAGATTCTGTTAATTTTGACACGATAAGGGTGGACGGACGTGTAAGAAGATTCATAGTTGAAGGGTGGTTTTAATTACCGAAAATGAGAGTTATTTTTTCGTAATTTGACCTAACATCATGGGTGACCGTAATTTACTCTAATTTTAGACCAGGTATCTAGGATTTGATGTGCAAAAAACTATATACTCAAAGACTAAATAAATTAAATGGAGACAAAACATAATTAAATACTAGGATCGAGAAGTAAGAATAATATAACCACACTCATCTAAAATCAAGATTCAAGAATCATTAAGATCCAAATTCTTGAAATGAATATAGCATATTATAAGATCAAGAAAAAAGGGTTTCTTGTTTTAATCTTCTTCGATGTATCTTTTATTAACTCTCTCTTTGTTTCTCCTTTTCTTTTCTTAGAGGAGACACCTCCATTGACAAACTTAACAGCAAGCTGCAGCAGCAATTCCAGCACTAACGGGAGCTCGAGCAGTAATGTATTCGCAAGCGTATTCGCCACCTCATCATCTTCAAGAAACTCCCATTACCAAACAACCGAATTCACCGACTTGTTTCGAGCTACAACACACGACGCTGCCCCACCACCACCACCACCCTCATCGGAGCCCATAATAGCTCTATGCCTCTCCATGAATCATCAAGGGCAATATTCCCCCGCAATGCAGCCCGCCTTATCAGCAACGGCCTTATTACAGAAGGCCGCCCAAATGGGGCCCGCTTCATCGAATGCATCGTTATCCCTTGGTCTCGGTCTTGGTCTCGGGCTTGGTCTTGGCTGTGACGGTGGGTCCGGTTTGAAGGAACTGATGTTGGGTACTCCGTCTGTTTTTGGACCGAAGCAGACCACTCTTGATTTGCTAGGGTTGGGTATGGCGGCTGCTGGCGGTACGGTGGCGGCGGCACAGCGGTTTGACGGCGGCAGCCAAGACATGAGAGAGGAAGAAACTCACGAAAGCTCTCTTTTTACGTCACCTTCTTCGATTATCAGGTGATTGAAAACTTTACATGTTATTTTAATTCTGCAGAATAGAACACTAACTGTGGGATATTAGTTAATTATATGTAGTAATTACTAATTAGTCGGCTTCGATTATTTATATGAAGTGTGGACTAGAAGAATCTGATGTACATAATCTTCGATAGAGACTCAACTGAATGAAGTTTAGGTAGGCATTATTGTTATTGTACTTTAGCTTGTTCAGCCCTAAGGCCTCGTTTGGTTATATGGATCGGATTAATTTGGATTGTAAAGCCGGATTGTATTAATTCTCTATTATCTAGTTTGGATTAGATTGAACTGTATTAATCATGTGCTCACTAAATAATTAATTATTTAGTGCGATGTTTGGTTCCTTAGGTGATGTTTGCAAAAGCTTTTACAAACAAATTATGAGCTTTTTTCATGCTCGCAAAATGAGCTTCAATGAACTTTTGCTTTTGTTTCTAGGGGCTCTTTGATATAAACCCCCCATTACTTTTTTTAATGGGGATAGACTCAAAATATTTTAGACCATTTGAGAAAAGCTCATGTTAGTCATTATGTTTTCCAGCTTTACCCCCGCCCACCACCTCATCACTGGGTCACATGCTCCGCAATTTTTTTTTTTCCGTTTTTTTAATCGACTATGAAGCATAGTCGATTAGTCTTAAATCGACTGTGCTTCATAGTCGATTAAAGAAATTCTTTATTTTTAATTTTTTTTTTCTTTAATTTATTTTTTTATATCAGGTTTATTAATTGACTATGATGAAGCATAGTCAATCAAAAGTCTGCTACTAAAAATAACAAATTAAAACTGCAAAAAAATGCAAAATCAACTATATTTTACAAAAAAACAAAAATATAAGAACATTATAATTGATTTATACAATTGGAATCAATATACAAAAAAACCAAAAAAAAAGAAGAAGATTGGAGTCGATCAACCTTAATCGATACCAGCGCATAGTCGATTAAGAATCAGCTACTAAAAATAACAAATCACAACTGCGAAAAAATTACAAAAACAAAAAATATACAAACATTATAATTGATTTATACAATTGGAATCAATATTCAAAAAATCCAAAAAAAGTAAAAAAAAAAATTGGAGTCGATCAACTTTAATTAATCGACTACCAGAACATAGTCGATTAGCTTAATCGACTATGAATATGTACATAGTCGATTAAGGTTTCAGCCTGCGCGAAATTCTCTACACGCGCCGTTATCCGCCCAATCCAACAAAAAACCCTAAATCTGCACAAATTTAAGTCATTTACCTAGATGAGGGGGGTCTTTCTAATTATCCCTTGAAGCAATTTTAAGTTATAATTTGTAAA